AACAAATGTTAAATAAATCTATTTATATGTGGTTATTTATAATTCTTTACTAGGAAAATATGACAATTCAGTTTAAACATGATCTTGTTTTATTGCCACAACAGGTCGCACATTACTTGTTTTACCCGACTCTGCTCAGATCAGCGGGTTGTTGTGTTTGTGCCTTTCCAAATAGATGTTGCCAACAGGGAAGTTGGCAGACTAGTTGTAGCCTCACTTGATAATTGTACCTTGTTTTGCAACACAAATTTAAAAAGAAAAAAGCATAAGAAACAAAAAAAAAACCCAGAATATTTAGATGAGTAATCAGATTTTAATTTCCTCAGAGTGGTTTGAAATGATAAAGAGAGCACTTTTAATTTATATAGTGCCAATTCACAACAGGTGTGGCCTCAAGGTGCTTTTAAATTGTAGGGTAAAGACCTATAACATAAAAAAATCTCAATCAGATGGCTCTTTATGAGCAAAGACTTGGCAACAGTGGGAAGGAAAATCTCTCTTTTAACAGGAAGGATCCTGTGGCAGAACCAAACTCTCACAAGGGCAGTCTGCCCCGGCCAGGTGGGGGTTAGGAGAAACAAAGGCAAGTAGAGGGAAACGGGGCAAAATACACATGCGAGAGAACCAGTTTAAAATTATTTACTATATGAATGAATAAATGCACTAGTGGTGTATAATTATATCGAGAGTGAAAAAGACTTTAATGAAGAATAAACACTTACTCCACCAGGGGAAACCCACAGCTGTCTAAGCATATTGCAGCATAACTAAGGGATAGTTCAGAGTCACCTGATGCAGTCCTAATTATAAGCTTATCAAAAAGGAAAGGTTTGAGCCTACTCTTGAAAGTAGAGATAGTGTCTGTCTCCCAAATCCAAACTGGTAGTTCTGCCTTCCATTCTGCCTTTAGAAACTCTAGCAACCACAAGTAAGCCAGCAGCCTGAGATCCAAGAGCTCTGTTGGGACAATATGATACTATGAGGTCTTTAAGGACATGGGGTCTGATTACTCAAGACCTTGTAAGGGAGAAGAAAGATTCTAATTTCAGTTCTGGATTAAACGGGTAAAAAGAAGATAATATGGTAGAAACATGCTCTCTTTCTTGTCCTGTTAGTACTGTCGTTGTAGCATTTTTGCAACCTGAAAATAATGCATTACAATAGTTCAGCCTAGAAGTGATAAATGTATCAGTTAGTATTTCAGCATCACTTTGAGACAGGATGTTTCTAGAATTAGTGATATTGCACAAATGTGAGCAGTGCTACAAATCCATGTAATACTCACATTGAAAGGCACATCCTGGTCATGATTCCAAGATTCCTCTAAGTGTTACTGGAGGCAATGGCAATGTCATCCAATGTAAGCATCTGTTGAGATGCTGTGTTTCTAAGATTTTTAGGACCGAGTACAATAACCTCAGTTTTGTACGAGTTTTGAGGCAGAATATTAGAGGTCATCTAGGCATTTGTCCTTAAGAGATTCTGTAACAAACCACGGCAGACCCGGCGACGCATCCATACGCTTTTCAGCATTTTTTTATCGACTCTCGGTTGCTGTTCACAGTCACACGCACACACAGCTGCAGCTTTCCAGCTCGCAGCTGAACACACTGACAACAACCAAACCAGGACCACACTAACACCGTTGGGGAACGCTGGTGGCAGTGGCGGCGGTGCCGGCCAGGACCAGGCCCGAGCGGCCAGATTCTTCCTGCAGGCGGCGTGATGCCACCACCTGTTCCCACTCTGTGCCCACCATTTCGGCCACCATTCGGGCCAGCTCATCCACTTGCTGGCCTGGTTGTGGGTCCGTCATGCCTCTCATCCTGGGTTTCGGCACTACTGTGACAAACCACGGCAGACCCGACGAGACATACATGCTTTCCAGCATTCTTTATTGACTCTCGATTGCTGTCCACAGTCACACACACACACACACTGCTGCAGCTTTCCAGCTTGCAGCTGAACACACTAACAACCAAACACAGGACCCTACACCAATTTTAAGCTGGTGAGGCAGGATTGTGATGCCGTGCAGGTGTGTCCGCCTTCCCTGCCGTGGCACTGCCGACTACACTCCGCCACACATGCCTTTACACATGCCTGACATCATCTGCATAGCTGTGAAAATGTTCCTTCGAATGATACTGCCTAAGAGAAGCTCTTAAAAAGTATTGGTCCCAGCACAGAGACCTGTGGAACTCCATAATTAACCTATACAATTAACCTATTGTTGTTAATTATTAGAGGTGGGAATCACCATACAACTCACGATACGATATTATCACAATACTTAACGCACGATACGATATTATTGCAATTTTTAAAAATATTTTGCGATATTCAAATTCTGTACATAAAGGTAAACTTTATCAATATTCATTTTATCTAATATCAAAGTCTCACACTCAGTCTTTCTCTCATTTCAGTCAGTTTTATTGTTGACAAACTGAACTGTTTGTATTACAGTCTAGTCCAACTTAACTGAATGCAACCATCTGGTACAATTACAGCTATTCTGAACTATGCAATATGAAAACTATGCAGCCCCTTCAGCAACTGAAGAATTTGAAAGTAAATTAAAACAAAATATAATTTTACATTAAATAAAAAAAGTTTTGAACTTAATTAAAATAAAACATGTCTTAAATTAAAATAAGTAAACTGTCATGTTTATTGCTGCCAAAAAAAAGTTAAACACATTTGGACAGTGAAGGAATGTCAGGATTCTTGCTCAGAAAAAGGAACATGAAGTCAGAGCATGTTCCAGTCCACGAAAAAATGGTTTGTAACAAAATATCGATTTCTGCTGTCCCTGCATCGATACATTATTAGCAAACAAAATATCACCATACTACACAGTATCGATTTTTTCCCCCACCCCTATTAATTATGGAGTCTGAATTATTGTGTACTGTGAGAATATGACTCAAACCACTGTAGTGCAGTATCTTTAATACCGAATCTCTGTAATAAAGTATTGTGGTCTACAGTATCGAGTCCTTCACTAATGTTGCTTGTGTACTCTGATGATCTCTGATACCTGAAATTCTTAAAATCAACCATTCATCTACAGGTGATCAGTTAGCTGCTTACAACTACTCTTTCAAGAATTTTTGAAAGAAAAGGAACACTGAAGATTATCCTATAATTAGCTAAGACAGCTGGGTCAACTAGAGGCTTTTTAAGTAATGGTTTAATTACTGCCACATTAAAGGCCTGTGGTACATAACCCGCGAATAAAGATAAAGATAATAAAGTGAATACGGTTGATGGTTTTGAGGAAGTATTTACTGAAGCTAACTTTGAAAGATCAATTGGAGAGTTAAATTGTATAATATAAATAAGAGCAGTTTTATAGGTGCTGTACATAATGATACATCTGTGGGACTGCTGTGAAAAATTTTCTTCTCTAATGGTGAAAATTTTAATTGTGAAGAAATTCATGAAGTCATTACTAATTAAGTTCAACAAAGCTCGGACTCTTTCTCAGCCTGGCTAGAGTGCTGAAAGGAAACCTGAGGTTATTCCTGTTTTCTTCTAATAGTAAGTGAATTAATGTTGCATCTTTACAAGGGACTTTTTTTTTTAAATAGAGCGACAAATTATTTTTCCACGTCAAATAAAGGTGAAACGCTAGTATGGGCAGAAATCTGTTCCATCAGAAACTGAATTTGAATAAGTTAAATTGCTCGGATTGAATCTGAATTGTAACTTGAATAAATGCTTTTACAAACTGAATATGAATTAGCCTAATTTGAAATTCAATTTACTGGTTTGAAAATGATCATCACTGAATTGAAATTGAATTTTATATTTTGAAAATGAATTCATTTGCTTTGAAACCGTATTTTATCCTTTAAAAATTTAGCGAGAGCCACAGTATCCAGAGACGTACACCGAGAGGATAAACCTTAAGCTGTCAATAATAAATTGCAGCCTAAAAATAACATTGATATCAGCAGCAAAATCACGTAACCTCTAATATAGACGTTTATTTTGGGTCAGTGTGACTGTGTTTGTGTTATCTCTAATAATCCAGATTGACCTTTTGTCCTGATACTTTCTCATTGTTAAACCTGCTTGCTTTGGGTGGGTTTTTTTCCCCCCAAAGCAAGAAGGGCAAGGGCAAAGGTGGACACTGAGAAAAATAGATTGCAGGGTGAGTGATGAGGCAAAAAGAGAAGTGAAAGAGGGAAAGGGAGGAGCAGCGAGAGGAAACGGCCAGAAATGCTTATGGGTGTTTCCTGCCACCTCTCTTATTTAGAAGTTACCTCATGCCTCAATACTAATAATAGAGCTTTGCCTGGATTTCCCTACCTTAATACTAATTCTTATCTCAGTGTGAACTACACAGTGGCATCCCACAGTCGTAATTTACCAGCAGAGTCAAAAGTTGTTATTTGCAGTTGTGGTGGCTGGTTGGTGTTGCAGGGATGCATTTAGGAGTGCATGCACTGCAGTTAGATTATTTAGTGTGTGCTTTTACATTGTTCAATGTATTTTTGTGAACTTGTGATTCTTTAGTGCGAAACCACAGCTGAGACTTTGTAGACGGAACATGGGTCAAATAGATGGTTGTAAAAAGTTGTCTTTTTCCTTACTTCCTCACTGTCATTCGCATCACCATAGCTTTGCAATGCATGTAAAATCAAGCTGTTTTTGCAAACTAGTCTACTTTATTCTTCTGAAGCATATAAAATTGCTTTAAATGACCCACAGATGCTTTTTCTTTGATTTTTCTGGTTTCATTGCTTCATCATTTTATTCTCTTGTCTATCACCTTCACTTGAACTAAGCTTCGTTTTGCGCTCTTTTGTTTTTTTGCCTTTCTCTGGGTAATGACCTCTTTCTTTGGGGTGTTCAAAAGACCTCTAAAAGTGAATCACAAGTACTTTCACCATTTTTAGAGCCACTTGCCTTTCTATAAGATGCTTTTCATGGACCTCATCTCATCATGACTGTTTTCTGCTTCTTTCTTTTTATTTATTTTTTTCTAGGGGATTTTGCTCATCATCTCCCACCACTTCCGCCTTCCGTCTTCCATTCATGAGCAGCGTGGCTGAATTTAACAGCGGCAGCCATGGATGACAAGGGCTCGGTGGGGAAGATTAGCGTGTCTTCAGACTCAGTGTCCACTCTCAACAGTGAGGACTTTGTCCTTGTGTCCCGGCTGGGGGACGAGACACCCTCCTCTACTAATAATGGTAGTGATGACGAAAAGACAGGACTGAAGGTAAGGTTGGCTGGGTGTAGGTACGGATGGAAGTGCAAGGTAGAAAAGGGGGACTTGTTGGAGATTAGGTGCACTAATAGTCACTTAGGCACAATGGCATAAGGGTCTTCCCATTAAAAAAACTTCAGCCTTCCACCTGACACCCCAGGAATCAGCTTTTTTTTTTTTTAAGATAAATTTACAATTTTACATAAGTAGTTGCAAGTTTACTTTCATATTTCTAACATTTATTACAAGTTAGAGGGTCTCAAAGTGGTTAGAGGGGTTCAAAAAAATTTTAATGCATGTTTTTTCCAGCATTTGAGCATCAAGATGACGGAGTATGTTGTAGTTTCAACAGCAAAACTGCACCATATTTATGTCTACGACATAGAGTAGCAGAAACAAGCATTGGCACCCGAGGTGTGTGTGTGTTTGTTTTCCTTTTTTAATTTTACTGAAGAAACCTTTATCAAAACATAGTGAGTGCGTGATATAAGAGGTCCTGTCTTTATTTACACTTTTTTTCTTTATCTGAATTCACACTCATCTTCCAGCTGCAATTTCTTGAGGGTCATTCATTTGCTAATATAGTCCTATTTTAACACAACACATAGGTTATGTAAAATGGAGAAACATTGGTGAAACGTGTTCTGCATAAGGGTCACAGAGGGTCAGGTGGGAACTTTTTTTTAGATTAGGCAAATTTTTTAATAGATAGATTTTTTTATATGGCCTGACCATTAAATTCCAGTGGTGTTTTTACTTTGAATAGACTCATTAATAATAACAGTTAAGATGGCCTGATCAGATGAGTAGAATAAACTGTACAGTATAAAGTAGGAAACCAAACGAGAATGTCCAGCACACTAAATGGTGTGACTATTATTACCTTGTGTGTTAATTAAATCTGATGGACCATGATATATCAAAACATCTCAATGTTTATTCATCTTTATTTATTTGTTAGAACTCATAAAAAAGCAAATTAGGAATTACAGTTTATACAGATTCATGTTGCTAACATACTGTTTTCATTACTAACAACCATCTTTTTTTTCTTTTTTTTTAACATCTAGCAGGGTTTGTTAATTTCACACTCTTAACCATAAACCAGCATTTATTGTTTTGCTTCCTCATTCTCACTTTGCCTTTTTTTGCCGTAGTTGGTCATAGTTGGTGTTTGTATTTGCTACTTTTAATGACGAAGCCCTTGGTGATTTGTGCACATCCACATAAACTGAGGGTAAATTGTCTGGTTAAGTTTCCCTGTGCTGTTTAGGCTGTAAATGAAGGATGTCATTCATGCATCCACCGCCAGATATTGTTGCCACTGAGTGTCATTAAGTTGGATGCTATTTAACTTTGGGAGACCGTTTCCCAACTGCTGTGTCAGTCAGGTGCTTGTGTTTAAATGCGTAATATGATATTGTGCTATAGCGAGGCTGACTTACAGCTTGTTTTCTATGGTTGAATTCACTGCTCAACTTTGAAAGATATCCAGGTATTGTGGTGATATAACCTTGCTTTGACCCATTGCTGGGGAAAATATCGGTGCTTTGTGATGCGGGCGTAGCTCTTTTCACAATATAAAGACTTTCTAGGAAATAATTGTGACTGCCAGCCACTATCCTGTGTGTGTCCCTAATGGGTTCAGATTACCTCTCTTCGCCTCTTCCGCTCGATCTCTTCACAGGATGCATTTTGTCCACGTGTCTCTCAGTTTAGTTGTTATCATGTTTCTTTTTATTGAGTTGACTTAAGAAGCGGCCTCACACGTTCGGACTATTTTCATTACTGTATGTCACTCATGTACGATACCTGTTTGTTTGTAAAGAAAAGTTATTCTGTAAAGTTCCCAGAAGATGGCGCCAGCAGAGCATAGATGTTCAATATCCATTCGCTAGAAAGTTGCTCTGCTTTGACCTTCTGTCGTGTTCTGTCTTTTTTCATATTTCATTCTTAAGACCAGTGTTTGTAAAAGCATCACAGCTCATTTTTTATGGACAATAAAATCACGTTTTTGCGCTGCGTATTTTGCCATCGTCTGCCTGCTGTCAGATGGTTAAAAAGCAGAACGTGACACACATCCTCTGTTCTCACAATGTAATGGCGAAATCACTCCATCCACTGGCACGCGGTCATCCTGACATCATGTTTTGGTTTTTGCCGACACACTCTTGTGCACATCTCCCTCCAGTCAGCCCATCCAGTCAGCAGAGGAGTCAGTGTCTAAACTTGTTGTTTGTTATGCAGGTGATTTCTGAGGAAGGGGTCAGCTTTAAGGTCAGTCTCTTCTCTCGCTCTCTTTCCTTTCCTCAGCTTCTCTCTTGCTTGTGAATATTATTCACCTTTTTCTTCCTGTGATGTGATTCAGTGGTGATTCTGTCTGTGATTATTTGTGCTTTCTGTAATTTTGCCGTCTGTCCAGCGATGGCCTCAGCTCTTTAATACTTTGGATTTGATGATGTTAGAATTAAACTGTAGGCTGTAGTTATGCAACAGTCGCCCAGGCTTGTAGCACTTCCTGTAAAGGCCCTCTACAGCTACACAGTTACAAAACGTCAGAAGTGTGAACGTCAATATAGAATTGATAGCACACTTACGCTTGTTTAGAATGCTTTTTCTTTTTTTTATCATGTTAATAGTCCTGTATCACTAAGATAATTGGCAGTGGTAGTATCCATCCTGCAAATATATTAAGATAATTAAGTCCAGCAGCAATGGACAAATGACCTCATTCTTTTCTGCCAAAGACATAAATTAGGTTTTACTCTATCTGTTTGGAAAAATGTTCTATATTTTTACATCATTTTTGTTATCCTTAAATGATCAATACAACAGTGACCCCTACTGGCTGATCTCCTTTTCTTATACAGCTTTTGGATGCTGCAGCAGCAGGCAGGGAACAGGCATTTACCTCACTTTGTGCTGTTTGGCCAAGCTCAAGGTTTCAGTTGATACTTTCATTTATAATCAGTGTTGGCATAACTCTAAAGTCTTGATACGTCCACCCAAAGTGATCTCAATACAATGTACTAATATTGAAATATACCTAAGATACATCTTTAATGGCCAAACTGAAACAAGTGATTCATACCTTAAACACGCTGCAGTCGCTCAAAATACATTTCCATGTCACTGTTATGGGCAAGGCAACTGCATGTTTCTGCAAACTGCAAAACTCAATAATAATACTCTTAATTCTGGTTAAATTGTTTGTTTGTTTTGTGCTTTTTTTGTGGTTGGGTGCATGATTATTTCTGTGTGTGTGTGTGTGTGTGTGTGTGTGTGTTTGTACACCTATGTGTGTGCATCAGATTGTAGGCAATGGAAGTGAGCAGCAGCTTCAAAGGGAGCTAGAAGATGTCCTCATGGACCCATCAATGGCTGACGCTGGCCTTGCGTCAGAAGCAAGGATGGATGATCTCGGTAGGGGCGATCATGCCCTTTATACCACAGCGTCACCTGTAGCCCCAGGCACTGACCCTCTGAGCGCACCCCCACCACCACCCAAGCTGGAAATGGTGCTTCCTGTTCAGACAGCCCAAGAGAGTGAGCTGAATGAGAGGTCATACAGAGGCAAGTCAGGATGAGATGAAGTTGAATCATATTTATACCGACAATTTTACATCACATGTTTTAAACCATCCTGTTTCCTCATTCGTTTTGTTTCCTAAAGGATGAGGACTGTTGTCATTTTGTTCTTGGTTTCCTTGAATTTCATGAATTTTGCCAATTGATGTTATATTTTTTCCTTAAGCTTCTCTTACTTTTCCATTCCTTCTTTCTAACCTCCTCTCGCATGAAACTGTACAGCTGAAAGATTATAATAGATGTCATAATATTATCCTTTTCTTTCTTTCACTGCCTGTCTTTTCTCATAACTGCAGCTGATGAATCATCATCAGAAGGTAGTCCTGGCAGCCCCATCCCAGATGAGGACAGCGTCGTGTTCAGCCAGCTGACATATCTAGGATGTGCCTCAGTCAATGCCCCCCGGAGTGAGGTAGAGGCCCTCCGTATGATGAGTATCCTCAGAGGGCAGTGCCAACTCCCCCTGGATGTTACACTGTCTGTGCCAGGCGTGTCTGAAGGGACTGTCAGGTAGGGCGAAAATATAGATTTTCGGTCAGTTGTGTGGATTAGTTCTAGTGCAGATGTCCAAACTTGATACACTCTTGTTGCTTTTAAGAATTTAAACAACAGTAATTTTATTGGTGTTTTAACAGGTTGTTGGATCCACACAACAACACTGAGATTGCCAACTATCCGATCTATAAGATTTTGTTCTGCGTACGAGGCCATGATGGCACACCGGAGAGTGACTGCTTTGCCTTCACTGAGAGCCACTACAATGCTGAGATCTTCAGGATCCATGTTTTTCGCTGCCAAATCCAAGAGGCGGTAAGCATTCACTGATTATGCAACTGTCTTTGTCTAACTTAATACCACTATGTGGTATATAAGGCACTCTTTTCCAAGCTAAGGTCACAACAACAACTAGAGTAGCCAACCCCAAAAAGTTTGCAAGCAATGTAGTTGCTATTCAGTTAGTGAACAAAAGGGGGAGTGAAAGCTTCTTGATTTTATATATGGCACTGCCGTCTCTTCTTTTCACACTATTGCACCCCTCAAGTACAAATACATGTGCACACACTTGAGTTGTGGACACGGCAGCTCTGGGGGTGACCTGATGTGGCATTAGGACGCCGGTGTTGGTTTCTTTGGGTCTTGTGGGCCACGGGCACTCAATCAGTGGAGAGTTTGTGGATTCAGTCAAAGTCAAGTTTTCTGAACCTTTTATGATTGCGATAATTCAAGAAGGAAGTCTGGGGTAGGACACAGCTCTTAGGCAGCACGGCTTAGGTTGGTGATGTGTGTTAAATTAACGTTCACATAAATGTCCCAAAACAATTTCCTAGCCTGTAATGAGATGATTGGTGTATCTGCCGATTATTGTAATGCTGTGTATGCAGTAGGTTCAGCAGAAATGTAAAGGAAGAGAAGAAGGTACCCGCTCATGAAACTGGGTTAAAGCTCTGCTTTCAGTGTTCAGTGACCTGATTTCTTCATCATGAAAGCCGTCTCCTTCAGTGTCACAGTGAGCCCCCAGACACTTCATCCTGTTATCCAGTTTCCGAGACTCCGATCTGTAATACACATACTCACTAAAACACTGATGCAAATACTCTCACTCAAATTAAAAAATATTCTGGACATCTCTGTTCTCTTCTTTGCACTCTTCATCTTGCACCCACCCTTCTCTTCCTTCAAGTGCCATAGCAACAAACCAGTCCACAGCATCTCCTGCTTTTTTGGGCCTCCCTTTCAGATTATTAGACTGTAGTGAGTCAGCTCATTGGTTACCCGTTCGTTTGGGGAGAAAGCTGCTCTTGTCATATGCATCACATCTGCTTCAACTTCACAGTAAACAACTCTTAAGACATGTTTAACAACTCTGTTTTCTGACCGAGGTCTTTTAAACTAACCATATGTATTATGGTGAAATGGCTCTTGCATTTGGATAAATACATTTTTTCATGGTTAAATTTGCATTCATCATTGTCCAGGGCCCTAGCAAGTCTTTCAATTAATTTGCTGAAAACTACCAAAACCATCTTTGTTCATATATAAAGAAAAATAACTCCTCAATTCTATTCAGCCCACTTTTGTATCGGACCTCCCATTATGACCCAGAGGCTAGTTTGTAATGGTGATGCAGAGGCCTCCTGACACTCAAACCCACGACTCTTCTTTTGTTTTTTGTTGTTTTTTGTTTTTTTTGGGGGGGGGGGGACGTTGACAAAAACTTGCCTCTCTCATCCAGAGATGTGTATCTATTTCTATGTAATTCACATCAGTTCAGCTCCAGTAGATGGGTTTTACAGAAGTATTCTAGGATCCTAAGAAGCTGATGCACGTGAAACACAAATTGGCAGCTGAAGCTGATTTTTACCGTGACATCATTTAAGAATGTCTCAAAGCTTCGTGTGCACGGAAAGTACATGAAGAAAGAAAAAGCTGGCAAGTGTGAAAAAACATCCCGGGTGGAAATAAAAACAGTGTAACAAGACATTTAACACGCACCAGATCCTTAAAGGCTGCATTTTTTAGATACGGATCAAATCCAAACTTCTTATGTAATCGATTTCACAAGTTTGAGTTGAGATCAGGGACGGACTCTTTGAATGAAACTCCAGTTGTTGGGAGTAAAGGATGAAATAGTTGCCCTTTTGTTTTTGACAGCCTCTTTTGCAGAGAAAACCTGGTATTAGTTGATAAGACCTTAATGCTATTTTGGCTTGTGTGGGGCTATTTGAAAAGCACTCTGTATCAAACTAAGTTCTGCCTGCCCCGATTAGTTCTGGCGTACAACTGCCTACAGAGAGTTCCTTCGTGAAAAATGAAGATGTTGACAGCTGATCAGTTTTAAGCAGCACAGAACAACAGTCCCATTGTATTACATGTACCAATACAGGGGGTAATTCCCCCCCCCATCTAGCTCTACTCATCCCCCATCTCTTACATCCTGTCCAGTGTTGTTTCTCAATAAATAGACCTCCTGCGATCTCCTAACATCCCTGTACTGTACCAGAGATAAAACAAAGACTTTCTGTAGCAGAGGTTAGAAGCTGCTTTGTACTCTGGTCTCGTGAAAGAGCCGAAGAGCATTGTTATTTATTGATAACAGCACTTTCCCCCACCCCACCCCTCTAGTCACTGACCCCCCATGAGCGGTGCTGTTTACCGGAATTAGAAATGATCCAAAACCACTCTGCAGTGGTCCTCTAGTTGGGGGGATAGCTCTGTTTATTATCAGCCACATATGTCTCTTTAGTAGTAAGTGGACAGAAAAAAAAACTTTGCTCGCTGTGAAACCTGTGCATTTAAAGTCCCCTCAGTGGAGACGATGTAAATAAATTATTACCACCTTGTGTTTTCACACTTGGCAGACTCAAGCTCTGTCTCTAGCTCTTGCTCCTCTTGAGACTTGGCAAACCTCTGGTACAGCTTGCTTTATGTTACACAGGAACAACACCCCCACACTCAAGGTTCAAAATTAAATACAATTCAAAATGGTTAATCTGCTGAAGGTCTCTTCTGTTCCTCATAAATATGACCAGACAAATTCCACTTCGACCACTTGCACTATCCTTGTCTATGGTTACAGCACAGGAAACCTAAATCATTTGGCTGGAAAGCTTTAGCTTGTTAGTATTCTTCCTCTTTAACACTTTCTGTTTTTTAACTTTGCAACTGTTATCTTGTGTTTATACGATGTTTTGTTGAGTTTGCCTGTGTTTTTTCTTTGACACTCTTAAATTATATGTCTGTGTTAGAAGACCTTTAAATTTATATTGTCTTTTGGGATAGATATTCATTGTGCGCATTTACTTTGCTCCTGCAGGTTAGTAGGATACTGTACAGCTTTGCCACAGCCTTTCGGCGGTCAGCTAAGAGGGCAGTTCTGTCGTCTCAGCAGGCTCCCCCTCTCACCCCTGACAGTGACTTGTTTACATTTACTGTCAGCCTGGAGATTAGGGAGGACGATGGCAAGGGTACTTTCAGGTGGGAGTCACATTCACTCATCATGCATTCTAATTTTTAATCCATCATTGAATTCAAAAGTGCAATTTTAGCTGTCTATTGGAGTGTAAAATGTTTTAATCAACATATTACACATATAAATACGGGAGCATACATCCTTAATTTTAAGAATCAACTTTTTGTTGTTGTTGTTGTTTTTTACTACTAAAGTCCCAAACCTTTCTGGGATGGGTGCTGCCCATGAGGGGACGCATCCCCTAATTGGTTTGGGTAAAAATGATGAAAGGAACTTTGCACTGATTTATTTAAAAAAAAGAAAAAAGTATTCTTTGGTCTCTGATGTTAACCAATCAAACACACTTTTTACCACAAGATATAACAACAAAGTTCCTGTGGGTTTTTTTTTTCATCAATCCTTCTTCACAGGTTGTTTTTATTTTATTTTCCCATAGTCCCGACTTACTTCTATGTGATGACAAGCAGCCCAAAGGGTCAGGTTATTTGGAAAACAAAATAAGACAAACAAAAATATGCCCGTGGATATTTTTAGCAGACTCGTATTTCCTCCTTATTAGCATTGGGTTATTTTTAGTGTTCCAACTTCCAAGCAAGCGGCTTCTACATGCAGGAACTCATGGCCTGCTTTTGTTTTTTCTTTGATAAAATTAAATTTAAACACTTTAAATGTTGACATATATTCTGTAACAATAACATTTCACATTTTGAAATAGTTTTTCCTTCTCTACAGTGTAAATAATCCCATCAATCTGAAGTCATACAGCAGATTTACAATATAAATTGATGATAGTGGGGCTTCTGTTTTGTTTTTTTTTAGTGGGGGGGGGGGTTGGTCGGGATGAAAAGTGAGAAATTCCAGCATGTAGACACTCTAATTAGACTGTAAAAATATTTCTTCTCTTTCCAGCGCTGTGGCAAAAGACAAGGACAAGCAAAGCTTCAAGCTGCGTGCAGGACTGGACAAGAAAATTGTCATCTATGTTCAGCAAACCTCAAATAAAGAACTGGCTATTGAGAGGTAAGATAAAGAGTTAAAACACTTATACTCTCATGCACACACATCTTCAGAATATAGGTCAGCATTTTACTAAGCAGTGCCCTGGAGTCCTCATGATTAAGTGTTTTTGTGAATTTTAGTTTCATGCAGTGATCAAATATGTCTAAATTTCTCATAAATGATGGTCGTGCTCAGAGGCATTGAAGGTCTTTTTGTTCAGAGTTCTTTTTAAGTTGTTTCTAATTAACTGAGAGAAGTGGAGTGGTTTCAGATGAGTTATTTTAAAAAAAGAAAGAAGAAAGAAAAGAGGAGAAAAAACCACACGAGGTGGCTCTTAACTTGATAAAAGAATGTGGAAACAATCTAAGTTCATGTAAACGGCCATAAATGTCCATAAAGTTGACCAGACATTCTTAAGAAGTAAGTCACTCTGTAATAAACACCTTCACATCCGTATGTCAGTCCATGTCAAGAACCGTTGTTAGGTGGTGATTGAGGTTAGTCTCATTTTCCACACTTTAATAAATCAGTGGAAATGTAAACATTTCTTTACCTTTTTTGCAGACTTTCATCCTCGCCATGATTTGTTCTTGATTTGTGAACCTAGGGAAGGTGACGATTTTAGTGGAGTGTTTAACGTTCTCCGTGCTCTGGTCTGTGTTAGAGGATCATTTCAGGAAGCTATTATTGGTAACATGTGTGACCTTTTTTTTTTTTTAACGATTTTTTTTTTTTTTTTTTTTGAGAGATTCATAGTCGTATGCCTCGCGTTTCTTTCCCCCCTTATGTAATCATATTCCTAGCACATTTTTCTTTCTCTATATGTGCTTTCCTTAGGTGTTTTGGACTCCTGCTCAGCCCTGGGAAAAATGTGAAGAACAGTGACATGCACTTGCTAGACCTGGTGGGCCCCTTTTTCACTTTTCTATGTGTATCTATGCGTTTGTTGTTCTGTGTTTGCTAACTTCTTGAGACTTGTACCTCCTCAGGAGTCAATGGGAAAGAGCTCAGACGGGAAGTCTTACATCATCACAGGAAGTTGGAACCCCAACACGCCTCAGTTCCAGGCTGTGAATGAGGAAACGCCTAAAGGTAGGAGCCAACAATCAATTTAAGATTTGTATAAGACATAAATAGTTTTCATTAGTGATTATTTCCTTAGTTTATTGGCTTGCTGGCTGGTTATTCACTCATATTTCACGGCGGCAGTATGTGACAGAAGTATTTGAGTGTGGTGGTTATTAACAGAACTTTGCCCAAGCCAAGCTGTAGAGAAATAAAGGATATAATAAATGGACATTGTAAAAAGGAATGATAACGATAACAGTTGTTTTTAATATATTAATTACTTGTAGATGGAAAATTCGGTCAGTAATTACAGATAATATTGTAACTTCTGTCTTTTTTTCCCCCCTTCAGATAAATTCATGTACATGACAACAGCAGTGGACCTGGTGATTACAGAGGTGGAAGAGCCCGTTCGTTTTCTTCTGGAGACGAGGGTCAGAGTGTGCTCCCCAAACGACAGGCTGTTCTGGCCCTTCAGCAAGCGCAGCTACACCGAGACTTTCTACCTTAAACTGCGACAGGTTTGTCAAATCATGAAGCAATCTGCATTTAAATTAATTCAGCCGATGGTCTCTGTGACCAGATATTAACTGTGACCTACAGTGGCAGAATGCAATATTTTGTGCCTTTTACTAAGTGGTATATGAACAAAGAAAAGAAGTAACAAATGTTTTATCAGCTATTCAGGGGATGATATCCTCACATTTTTACTCCATGTTGAAAACTCACACATACGCCCTTGAAAACTTTTTGTGAAAGTTTTAATTTGTTAATGATAGTTGTTAGAGTCAAACGAACAAATCCTCTTCCTCTGTTCATGCCTCTAATCTGTTGAATTTGTGTGGTGGTGAATAGTGATTTTTTTTTTTTGGATTTAAGGGAAAGGTAAACCTTAGGACTTTTTCCTGTGGTCAAACACATCTTCTCTTTTCAGATGGAGCGTAAAGAGCGTAAGAGCCCTGCCTCTGACACACTGTATGAGGTGGTGAGTTTGGAAAGTGAAACTGAGAGAGAAAAAAGGAAGACCACAGCCAGTCCCAGTATCCTGCCAACTGGGCCTGGCGGGATGGTCCCTTCCCCACCCGAGGACGATGAAGAGGAAGGTACTTGTAATGCTGCCGTACTTTTTCAGCTACTTTTTTGTTATTCACTTTTGTAGTCTAAAAGTAAGTACATTTTATTTATACAGCACATTGAAAATGCTTTACAATTCAAAAATAGCTAAAAGAGGGGTTCCTCAAATTTACATAAAACAACACAGCAACAACCCGTGTTTCAACCAAATGTCCAGAGATTAGGGATGGGTATCGTTTAGGTTTTATCCGATACCGGTGCCAAACAGGTACTTTTGAAACGGTGCCGGTGCTTAAACGGTGCTCAAACCGGTGCTTAAAGAATGGAGAACACACACTTTGTCCAAAAACCTCTCATGTTCAGCTGTTTTCCACTTTAAATATGGTCATTTTAGCCTTTTTGGCCAGGGTGAAGAGAGTACTTACTATCAAACAAGAGGACAGCCGCATGTAGCTAAGATGATGTTTGCTAGTTCACCTTACATGCATTAATGTAATAACGTGGTTAGCCTACTCAACATAAATTACACACGAACAACATTAAGCTACTCACGCAGAGAAGAACGGCTGCTGCCACCATCATCCGTCATCATTTCTGCTACACTGGCAGGGCTAGGGGCCAGGACTCTCCTCTTCGGGTTCTTGGGGGATGTTGCTAGGTCCGATAACAGGCACCACACCCGCAGTAGATGTGCACAGCGTGAGGTCTTGCAGAAAGCTATCAAATACGGTGCATTTCTCTGCTTTAAAAAACCCCCCGCTTTTGACCGCTTCGCCTTGGGTATTTTTAATCTGTAGCTCTGCTCTAAAAGAACGTACGTACCTGGGCCCGCCTACTATCCTTGGAAAGGTAAAATGATTGGCTAGAATCCAAAGTGTATGACATCTCAGGAAAATAAAGCACCGACATGTGCGCTACTTTTCGGTCTGGTTACTACCGTTTATGTCAGAACCGGTGCCATACTGGTACCCATCCCTGCCAGAGGTTAGCAGTTTCCAAAAGTTTGACAAGAATTTTGTGTCTTCAGCTTAAATTTAAAGACAGCCATAGTTGATTCTTGTCTAAGGTCCTTGGGAGATCATTCCTATTACTAGTCCTATTGTACCAAAACAGCAAAGGCGTGGCCCCTTGAAATAGGCTTTGAGTGATTGCGAAGGAGACATAATTGTAACATTTACCCTTTTAAACAAAGTGCTTTTTGTTTAGAAGCTATACACGTTTTGGTGCAATCTTGAAAAAGCTCATTAACACAACTTAGCACTGGTTCATTTGTTACATTTTGCAATTTATCCTTTTTTTGATCTTGATACCAGCTACATGTTGCAAAAATATTTTAAAAGTAACATCTTAGTTAAAATGCTGCTGCTGCTTTCTTTGGGCCTTGTTTACTGCAATATGCAGTTTTGCAAAGTGAAAAATTGTCTATCATGTCAAAATTTGAAATACTTCTTGGCAGTCGTGGACACATTTTCCTCCAAACTAAAGAGGAGAGGGATCTTTTGCCTTGTTATTAGCACACAGTACTAAGGGTAGCCTCTGTTATGGTACCATTAATGTTGAACTAAACGTACAGGTTTGGAGTAACATGTGCTCCCATCTGGTGATAAACTGATCTGCATGCAGTCCAGATCTGTCACACATAGAAACCTTTTTTGACATCATTACTCAAAGAAAAGTTGAAAAAGGAGGCTCTGAAGTGTTGAGCCACTGAAGTCATACACTTAGTAAGAATGGGGAACATTATGCATTGTTCATCAAACTGCCTTTTAAAAGAAGAGATGATGCAACGAGTGGTAAAATGCATGCATCCCCATTTATTTTTTTATTTTTTTATGAACAGTCTTACTGAGATTAAGTTTAAAATGAGCACATCCCATTTCTCAGTTGCTGCATATTAACATCAAAGTAGGGTTTAAACAAATATCCAATTTTTGCTGTTTGTTTTTTTATGATTTCATTTGTACATGCAGGAGTAAAGATTAACTGTTGACAGAGTTAAATGTTTAAGAAGGTATGGTCATGGATTGTTGCTTTGAAAAAAATTGATTGCCCCCCGCCCCTCTTCACAGATAATGACGAGCCCTTACTTAGCGGTTCCGGTGATGTTTCAAAGGAGTGTGCAGAGAAGATCCTGGAGACGTGGGGAGATTTGTTATCCAAGTGGTAAGGTGTTTTCCTCTTCGTGCTCCACTTCTGTCGCCATTGAAGTCATTGTACACAGATGCAGTGTAATCCATGTGAAGGAAAGAACAGCGGGTAGCAGTTGTTGATAAGCAGCTTATTAAGATGATTTCCTTCTTCCAGTGTGGAATTAGTTTTTAATCAAAAGCTTGTGATGAGCAGAATAGAAAATGCACGAGCTTTAATTAGCTGTAAATTAACACGCAAACAAGCTCTAATATTCAGCTGTCTTTGTCCCTGTCTGTTGTTGTTTGTTTTTCAGTGCAACGCTGAAATATACTTTAAATTGTTACAGTATATACATAGTATGATGATGTTATCCTATTGTACTAGATTTGGCTTTTAAAACGCCTTCAGAGAAGGACCCAATGATGATATGATGATTAAAGCGATTAATTCTTTCTTTTTTTTTTTAATGTTTATCTCTCTTTGCTAATAATAACAATGGCTAAATAAAGAAAGGAATCATAAGACTAGCAAGTCATAACACTAGGCTTTCTTTGTGTGCTTCTGTGATTTTTTTTTGTGTGTATGTATTGTGGCATTGTTGAATGGGGCACAGAGAAGCAAATCACAGAAAGCCCTTTACAATCTTATGCCCTGAGGACCAGGCCTGGCATTACTTACATCACATGCACTCTCACATGCATGCACACACATGTACGCAGTTTCCCATCTTGGTCTCGGTAGAAATGCCACGTATTGCATAACCTGACGCCCGGGACAAATAAACAAAACAAACCCAGAAAAATAGAGGGGGCATGAATTAAGAAAGGGGGGGGAGAATCATCAGGGATTTTTCTGTCTGCTTCAGTCAGGCGATAGTTAGTGCCAAGGTACCTCCAGTTTGCCTTCTCCTTTTTTTGCGTGTGCATGTGCGCGCGTGTCTACCTCTCCTCTGGATCTCTTAACACTAATGGGCTTGCAGATCCCTGAGTTCATTTAAATCTGCGTGCAGGGTATAACACTCTCAGCAGGCTTAAGATTTAAAAGTGAAAGGAAAGAAGGAAAGAAAACATTGAAATTAGTTTTTATGTGTTTTTCTTGCTTTTTCCTGTTGGGCTATTGCTTTTTATTAGCTGTTGTTTTGTTGCTGCTGAAAGTAAGATGGGGATAAAATAAAACACATTAAAAAATAATTTAATAGATAAATAAGTTGTCATGCGTTTGCTGTACAAAAGGTGCTCATATGTTGCATTCTGAAAGAGTGATTGTTGAGTCCTTGGTCGAGTGTATTGATTGATTAGGCGAGGTGTGATTGCATATAAATCATTTTTCTTGTGGTATCAAGCCCCACTTGTCATCTTGGTCTTGGCTCTGCCAGTCATCAATAGGGATGATAATGGCTCATTAAAAACATTATAATTAAATAAACATCATTTTATTTTAGTATATATTTGGTAAACTGATCTTTTCTTTCCCCATTGTAGGCACATGAACTTATCAGTGCGTCCCAGACAGCTGCCAGCTTTGGTGCGGAGCGGCATTCCTGAGGCACTGCGTGGGGAGGTTTGGCAGCTCCTGGCAGGCTGTCATAACAATGACCACCTGGTAGAAGAGTACCGCACACTCATTACAAAGGTAATGCCTCGCAAACATATTACTGATGAGTAGAAAACACTTTCAATTCAGGTTGTTCAGTGATTAGAAAAGCAGTCCTTAAACACAGTCACTCAGTCTGAAGCACCTGTATTATTTTGGCTCATCAGTGAGATATCCCCTCTGAGGATTTCTTATACAGTTACTGAGATGGACTGTTAACTTTTAACAGTTTTGTCCTTTCATTGGTGTCACTTTAGATTTCATAGTGCAATACAAGAGATTATATCTTCAGATCGGAAACATTTAGTTCATAGATGTTATGTGTTTTTTTTTGGTTTTGGTTTGTACTTCCAGACAATATGTGTTACTGTTTTCTTCTTTTTTGCTTCAGTCCTGGTTAAATTTTAGCAACTCAAAGTACACCCCAGAGGCCAGCAGTGGCCTTGTGTCATAAGTTTTTCTCTCATGTGCTTCAAACTTGTGATAATAACCACTGTTGCCATGTAGATCGCACAAGATGATAACACTCTGTGTTATGTGTGTGTATACACCTATCTTTTTTCAGAACAAATTAGTGGTTTGTTAATGGCCCCATTAGATGCCTTCAGTAACAGAGAAGCATAGTGTCTAGAGCCTGTAACTACATATCAGTCATTTTGAAAAGGGAATAATCCTTTAAGATATTAGCTGTGTTGTTTTCAAAAATGACTGAAAAGATCAAAAACATTAAGACGAGGAAAACATGATTACGTTTTGTGCCTATATAGAGCCAGAAATGTATTATATTAAATAGAGATGGCACGATACCACTTTTTTATGTCCGATACCGATACCATAAATTTGAATATCTGCCGATACCGATATGAATCCGATATAGTGTTTTTTAATCAA